TGATCATGGTGAGGGATGGTGTGATCTTCCTCTGTGGAATCCCGGAATACAGGGGACCGCCCTCCTCCATAGACTGCTGACCTCCACTCATCAAAGTCTCTTCCTCTTTAATTTCAGCTTTGATGTCTATCAGTTCATCACCCTAAACCCCAAAGATGATAGAATAGATTTGTAAAAAGGAACAAGAGATTACATAGATGAATATCGTCTCATAGCTTAGAATTCTGTTTGTATTCTAGTTGCTCAGTCCCACCTACCTGATGATGATGGGGGATGGTGTGACCTTCCTGTGTGGAATCCCAGGAATACAGAGGACCACCCTCCTCCATAGACTGCTGAGCTCCACTTATCGACATCTCTTCTTCTTCTTCTTTAATCTCAGCTTTGATGTCTTTCAGTTCTTCACTCTAAACCCCAAAGATGATAGAACATATTTATAAAAAGGAACAAGAGATTACATAGAAGAATCCCAAGTCTAGTCCAGGCTGAATTCCTTTTAAGTTCTAGTAGCTCAGTCCCACCTACTTGATGATGGTGGGGGATGGTGTGACTTTCCTGTGTGGAATCCCGGGAATATCTCTCTGGTGGGTTCCCATTACTGGATCCATCTACCTGATGATGCTGTGGGATGGTGTGATCTTCCTGTGTGGAATTCTGAGAATACAGAGGACGGGGACATCTCTCTGGTGGGTTCCCATTACTGGATCCATCTACCTGATGATGGTGAGGGATGGTGTGACCTTCCTGTGTGGAATCCCGGGAATACAGAGGACGGGGACATCTCTCTGGTGGGTTCCCATGACTGGATCCATCTGTAGGAAACACACACACTGACTGAATCCATTGTTTCTATGTGTTTATCAGATGATGGGGGATCTAGGTGGACCCTCCGTACTGCTCTCTCCTTTACAATAAAGTCTCCTCTTACCCGGTGATGTGAGGGGCGGCTGATTGTCCATCATGACGTCCTTGTAGAGATCCTTGTGTCCTAAATACTCCCACTCCTCCATGGAGAAATAGACAGTGACACCCTGACACCTTATAGGAACCTGACACACACAATGATACAGTCACCATCCAGACACATCCCTTGTCTGTTACTGGAGAATGTCCCAGAATTCCCAGCACCGCGCTCACCTCTCCTGTCAGCAGATCAATGATCTTCTGGGTGACTTCTAGAATCTTCTTGTCATTGTTTCTCTTGAGCTTCAGGGAATGAAGTGGAGGAACTGTAATGGTTAAATGGTCACCATATATCATGGATGGAAAACTCTGCATTAAAAGAGCAACAATAATGTCATGTGACCTCCCAGAATCCTCCTCACCTCTCCGGTCAGCAGGTGGGTGATCTCCAAAGCGAGGTTTAAAGTAGAACTCAAGCTAAGCACACACGCATTACCTGCGCCGCCATTCGCAGCTGCGGCTGTCAATCACCGGTTCCCAGCCAGTGATTATTCACTGGCACCCGGAGACTGCCGAGCATCTCCGACGAGAACTGTTTGTAAACAAAACAGTTCTCCTCCCTGTCAGCTCCTGCACACTGCTTTGCATGGCTGTGCACAGCACAGCCATGCAAAGCAGTGTGCTTACAATGAAGCACAAACACAGCACAGTTAACCCTTTGATCGGCCCTCGTGTTAACCCCTTCCTGCCCAGTGCCATTAATACAGTGTCAATGCTCTTTTTTTTTTAGCACTGATCACTGTATTGGTGTCACTGGGGATGTCAGTGACACCAAGTCAGTCCCCCCCCAGTGTCAGAATGCCTGCCGCAGTCCTGCAATAAGTCGCTGATCGCGCCATTACTAGTAAAAATAAAAATCCCAGTATCTATACCGCCATTTGTAGACGCTATAACTTATCACATAAACCAATTAATTTACACATATTGGGATTATTTTTTTAGCAAAGACATGTAGCAGAAGACATTTTGGCAGAAATTTATGACAAAATATGATTTTTAAATTTTTTTGCTGGATATGTTGAATAGCAAAAAGTAAAAAATATTGTTTTCTCAAAATTGTCGCTTTTTTAAAATTTTTAATAGAGCAAAAAACTAAAAATCGCACAGGTGATCAAATACCACCGAAAGAAAGCTCCATTCGTGGGGGAAAAAAAAAGGACATAAATTTCATTTGGATGCGGCGTTCCATGACCACGCAATTGTCAGTTAAAGTAACGCCGCGGCGTAACGCATAGAATGACCTAGTCAGGAAGGGAAGGGAATCCTCTGGAGGGGGAGGGGTTTCAGTGGAAGTAAACACTTTAAAAAAATATTTTTCCCTGATAATAAACAAGCTCAACGTGCACCGGTGAGGAGATATTAGCTCTTTTTGACAGTCAGTGCATGCGTCCCTGAAGGAACGGCATGGGTGTGCAGAGCACTGTGCCGTGGCCCGGGACTGCAACGCGCTTGCGGGAGGGTGACGTCATCGCGGGCTCACGAACTCGGAAAGAAGACCGGGTGTATATGGAAGCCCTGTCAGCCATGGCAAGGCACTACCGGAGGGCTTCGTTTTGAGGTAGATCCTCCATAATGTGCTGGTATGCGATGCCTACTTGTTTATTATAAAATTACCTTGCAGATTTTTTTTTTTTATGTCTCCGCCCAAAAGTGAGGGGGAGTTATAACTGTGTCTATGTCGTGTCAATAAAATATCATATTACCTCCTCTGCTGCCGGATCCAGCGTCTTCACTCAACTCCTTCCAACTCTCCTCTCACCCACAACTTCCCATCTGCCTATAACTTCCAGTATGAAGATGACATCACTTCCTCCCCAGTTGTGGCATCACTTCCTGTGTCTGTCTGATCACTCTTCCAGTCTCCATGTTTCACCTTGAATCGTCTTTGTTCCCCTCAATAAAATTGGAAAGGTCTCCACCTTGGCAGTAATGTCATTAAAGGGGGAGTCCTGTCTATTATCAGCATGTGATTATTATAGAACACCACAATGGGTGAAAAAATAAAATTGGGTGGCACATTGGCTAAATGGTTAGCACTTCTGCCTGGCAGTACTGGGGTCATTGGTTCAAATCCCACCCACAGCATCACCTGCCTGGAGTCTCTATAATGTGCCTGTGTGGGTTTCCTCCAAGTACTACAGTTTCCTCCCACCTCCATAGACATGCTGGTAGGTTATATGGCCCTAGTATATGTATGTATGAATCAATGAAGGTGAGGGACCTTAGATTGTATGCTCCTTGAGAGTTAGGGGACTGATGGGGCTGTCTTCCACCATCCACACTACATTTTCTGACAGCTCTCCTCCCCCCATCCACACTACATTCTCTGACAGTTCTCCACCATCCACACTACATTCTCTGACAGCTCTCCACCCCCCACCATCCACACTACATTCTATGACATCTCTCTCCTCCACCTCCACACTACATTCTCTGACAGCTCTCCACCATCCACACTACATTCTCTGACAGCTCTCCTCCCCCACCATCCACACTACATTCTCTGACAGCTCTCCTCCCCCACCATCCACACTACATTCTCTGACAGCTCTCCTCCCCCCTCCATCCACACCACATTCTCTGACAGCTCTCCTCCCCCACCATCCACACCACATTCTCTGACAGCTCTCCTCCCCCCACCATCCACACCACATTCTCAGACAGCTCTCCTCCCCCCACCATCCACACCACATTCTCTGACAGCTCTCCTCCCCCCTCTCTGTGTTGTATTGTTATGTATGCACAATAAAAATAGAAGTATCGGGACACCACAAAGCGGTTGGTGACATGGGAGGAGACACATCCCACCACTGGAGTTTCCAAAAAATACAAGAAACAAAAAGAAGACTCGGCCCCTCCAATTATATCTATAAATTTAATATCACTTTATAAAGGAAATATTTTCTTCTTACAGTTGACCTTTGGGCTAAACAGTCCCACCAGTAAAAAAAAAAACCATCGTACATTTGTCAAAGGCAGGGGTCTCCAAAACTTTCTAAACAAAGGGCCAGTTTCCTGCCCTTCAAACATAAGGGGGCCGAACTACGTTCATTGGAAGTAAACATTGCCCCTTCTTTGGTGTCAGTGGGAGAAATCATGCCCCAACGTTGGTGTCATTGAGCAAAAAGACTCATGCCTGAATTTTGGTGTCACTGGCAGGAACTGTGCCCCATCCTGGGTGTCATTGGGAGGAACCGTGCCCCGTCGTTGGTGTCATTGGGAGGAACTGTGTCCCATCGTTGGTGTCATTGGTGTCCCATCGTTGGTGTCATTGGGAGGAACTGTGCCCCATCGTTGGTGTCATTGGGAGGAACTGTGCCTTGTTGTCACTGGCAGGAACTGTGCCCCATCCTTGGTGTCATTGGGAGGAATCGTGCCTCATTGTTGGGGTCACTGGCAGGAACTGTGCCAAATCCTTGGTGTCATTGGGAGGAACTGTGTCTCCTTCTTGGTATCACTGGCAGGAAATGTGCCCCATTGTTGGTGTCATTGGGATGAACTGTACCCCTTCATTGGGATGAACTGTACCCCTTCATTGGTGTCAGTGGGGGGAATTATGCCCCATTGTTGGTGTCAGATGATACAATATTGCCCCACAGGCTGGATAAAAGCAAGCAGAGGGCCACATCTGGCCCCTGAGCAGTGGTCTAAACAAATCAGCATACACTTTTCCTCTGATGCCTAATCAGAAGTCTTTAATTTATAAACATTTCCCGCACTCTGAGCACATTGAGGACGCTGTGCAGGGTGTCTTCTCTGATGTGTAACAAGGTTTACTTTCTGAGTGAAGGATTTCCCGCACTCTGTACATGAATAACGACGCTCGCCCGTGTGGATTCTCATGTGATGAAGTAGGTTTCCTTTTAGGGTGAATGATTTCCCGCACTCTGAACACGAATAAGGACGTTCACCCGTGTGAATTCTCTGGTGTCTAATTAGGTCTCCTTTTAGAGTGAACAATTTCCCACACTCTGAACATGAATAGGAATGCACATGCTTGTATTTTCTCTGGCTTTCATTTAAGTTATCCTTCTTAGAGAAAGATTTCCCGCACTCTGAAGATGAATAATGTTGCTCACTCATGTGACTTCTCTGGTGCTTCGTAAGGTTTCCTTTTAGTGTGAAAGATTTCCCACACTCTGAACATGAATAAGGACGATCACCTGTATGAATTCTCTGGTGTCTAACAAGGTCTCCCTTATGGATGAAAGATTTCCCGCACACTGAACATGAATAGGGGCGCTCACCTGTGTGAATTCTCTGATGTTTAATGAGGTTTTCCTGCAGAACAAAAGATTTCCCGCACTCCGAACACGAATAGGGACGCTCGCCCGTGTGAATTTTCTGGTGCTTAACAAGGTTATCTTTCTTATGGAAAGATTTCCCGCACTCTGAACATGAATAAGGACGCTCACCCAGGTGAAATCTCTGGTGTTCCACAAGTTTTCCTTTCCAAGTGAAAGATTTCCCACACTCTGAACATGAATAGGGAAGCTCTCCCTTGCAATTTCTCTGGTGTTCCTCTAGCTTCTCTTTCTTAGAGAAAGATTTCCCGCACTCAGTACACGAATCACGGCGCTCATCCGTGTGAATTCTCTTGTGCTTCACTAGGTTTCCTTTTAGAGTGAAACATTTCCCGCACTCTGAACATGAATAAGGACGTTCACCCGTGTGAATTCTCTGGTGTCTAACAAGGTCTCCTTTTAGGTTGAAAGATTTCCCACACTGTGAACATGAATAAGAATTTACACCCTTGTTTTTTCTCCAGAGTTCATTCAGTTTATCCTTCTTAGAGAAAGATTTCCCGCACTCTGAAGATGAATAAGAAAGCTTACCTGTGTGACTTCTTTGGTGTTTCATAAGGTTTCCTTTCAGCGTGAAAGATTTTCCACACGCTGAGCATGAATAAGGATGCTCACCCGTATGAATTCTCTGGTGTCTAACAAAGTCTCCTTTCTGAGTGAAACATTTCCCGCACTCTGAACATGAATAGAGACGCTCACCTATGAAAATTTTCTGTTGTCTAACTAGGGCTTCTTTGCAAATTAAGGATTTCCCGCACTCTGAACATGAATAAGGACGCTCACTCTGATGTTTGATAAGCACTCCCTTCTCGGTGAGACATTTCCCGCACACTGAACATGAGATTAGATCGTCCCATCGGTGAGCTCCTTCATGGGGTGCGGAAGATTCCTTGGGATTAGATGGATCTCTTGATCTCTCTGCAGTGTGAGATCCTAAATGGACATTTGCACTCCTAGTATGTGATTGGTCAGAAGATTCCCCCTGATCAGAGGGATCCATTGATGTCTCCGGACAGGAAGGTCTGTGATGGATATTGGGTGTATTTGGATTCACTCCTGGAGAATCCTTTGTGATGGCATTATCTTCTGACTTCCAATCAGCAGATAATAGAAGACTTCTCTCCGAGGAATTCCTGACATCAGCGCCATCTGATGGAGAGAAATGGAAGAAATGTCAGAATTCACAAATAACTGGAGATTTGGCTCCTCCCCCCCGTCAGTGGAATAAGTGGAAATGTCGATCTCACAGCTGGGCCCCTGTTCTCCCTCCAAAATCGATCAGAAAAGTGTTCACACCGAGTCCATATATGATCTGCAGATTGTTTAGTTTTTAGTAAGGCTTCGTTGGACAAAACGCGTCAGTGTTTTGTTAGTACATTGGATCGCCTGCATTTTAACCGCCTCCCGCCCGTCATATAGTACAAAGACGGGGCAAGGTGGTTCTCACTTTCTGGGAGGACGTCATATAATGTTGTACCATTCTCACCGCACATGCACGGCTCTGGGAGCACGCAGCGCGGCGATCGGTGGTGCGCTGTGTCCCTCAGACACAGCGGATCGCCGATCATGGAAAGAGCCGAAGATGTCGGCTCGGTCATGTGATCAGCTGTGTCCAATCACAGCTGATCATGTGAAAATAGGGAAATACTGGTTATCAGTATTTCTCTCCTCACGAGCGGTCACGCTGACAGAGGAGAGGAGAGACGGTAATCGGCATTCCTCGGAGGGGACATGTACACTGATCATCAGGGCACTGATGATCAGTGTAGCCCCAGCAGTGCCACCTGTCAGTGTCCATCAGTGCAAATCAATGCCACATATCAGTGCCCATCAGTACCAATCAGTGCCACCTATCAGTGCTGCCAATCAGTGCTGCCAATCAGTGTGCATCAGTGCCGCCTATCAGTGCCCGTCAGTGCTGCCTATCAGTGCCGCCTAACAGTGCCAGTCAGTGCCACCTATCAGTGCCATATATGAGTGCTGTCTTTCAGTGCCCATCAGTGATGCCTATCAGTGCCCATCAGTGCCACCTATCAGTGTCCATCAGTGCTGCCTATCACTGCAGCCTCATTACCGCACATCAGTGAAGGAGAAAAATCACTTATTTACAAACTTTTATAACAAAAACTAAGAAAAAACTTTTTTTTTCTCAAAATTTTCTGTGGTTTTTGGTTTCTTTAAGAAAAAATAAACCCAGAGGTGATTAAATACCACCAAAATAAAGTTCTGTGACGAAAAAATGATAAAAATTTCATATGGGTACAGTGTTGCATGACCGCACAATTGTCATTCAAAGTGTGACAGCGCTGAAAGCTGGAAATTGGCCTGGGCAGGAAGGGGGTAGAAGTGCCCGGCAGGCAGGAAGGAGGTAGAAGTGCCCTGTAGGCAGGAAGGGGGTAGAAGTGCCCGGCAGACAGGAAGGGGGTAGAAGTGCCCGGCAGGCAGGAAGGGGGTAGAAGTGCCCTGTAGGCAGGAAGGGGGTAGAAGTGCCCGGTAGGCAGGAAGGGGGTAGAAGTGCCCGGTAGGCAGGAAGGGGGTAGAAGTGTCCGATGGGCAGGAAGGGGGTAGAAGTGCCCTGTAGGCAGGAAGGGGGTAGAAGTTTCCGGTAGGCAGGAAGGGGGTAGAAGTGCCCGGTAGGCAGGAAGGGGGTAGAAGTGCCCGGTAGGCAGGAAGGAGGTAGAAGTGCCCTGTAGGCAGGAAGGGGGTAGAAGTGCCCTGTAGGCAGGAAGGGGGTAGAAGTGCCCGGTAGGCAGGAAGGGGGTAGAAGTGCCCTGTAGGCAGGAAGGGGGTAGAAGTTTCCGGTAGGCAGGAAGGGGGTAGAAGTGCCCGGTAGGCAGGAAGGGGGTAGAAGTGCCCGGTAGGCAGGAAGGGGGTAGAAGTGCCCTGTAGGCAGGAAGGAGGTAGAAGTGCCCGGTAGGCAGGAAGGGGGTAGAAGTGCCCTGTAGGCAGGAAGGGGGTAGAAGTGCCCGGTGGGCAGGAAGGGGGTAGAAGTGCCCGGTGGGCAGGAAGGGGGTAGAAGTGCCCGGTGGGCAGGAAGGGTTAGAAGTGTCCTGTAGGCAGGAAGGAGGTAGAAGTGCCCTGTAGGCAGGAAGGAGGTAGAAGTGTCCTGTAGGCAGGAAGGGGGTAGAAGTGCCCGGTAGGCAGGAAGGGGGTAGAAGTGCCCTGTAGGCAGGAAGGGGGTAGAAGTGCCCGGTAGGCAGGAAGGGGGTAGAAGTGCCCTGTAGGCAGGAAGGGGGTAGAAGTGCCCGGTGGGCAGGAAGGGGGTAGAAGTGCCCGGTGGGCAGGAAGGGGGTAGAAGTGTCCTGTAGGCAGGAAGGAGGTAGAAGTGCCCTGTAGGCAGGAAGGAGGTAGAAGTGTCCTGTAGGCAGGAAGGGGGTAGAAGTGTCCGGTAGGCAGGAAGGGGGTAGAAGTGCCCTGTAGGCAGGAAGGGGGTAGAAGTGCCCTGTAGGCAGGAAGGGGGTAGAAGTGCCCTGTAGGCAGGAAGGGGGTAGAAGTGCCCTGTAGGCAGGAAGGGGGTAGAAGTGCCCGGTAGGCAGGAAGGGGGTAGAAGTGCCCTGTAGGCAGGAAGGGGGTAGAAGTTTCCGGTAGGCAGGAAGGGGGTAGAAGTGCCCGGTAGGCAGGAAGGGGGTAGAAGTGCCCGGTAGGCAGGAAGGGGTAGAAGTGCCCTGTAGGCAGGAAGGAGGTAGAAGTGCCCGGTAGGCAGGAAGGGGGTAGAAGTGCCCTGTAGGCAGGAAGGGGGTAGAAGTGCCCGGTGGGCAGGAAGGGGGTAGAAGTGCCCGGTGGGCAGGAAGGGGGTAGAAGTGCCCGGTGGGCAGGAAGGGGGTTAGAAGTGTCCTGTAGGCAGGAAGGAGGTAGAAGTGCCCTGTAGGCAGGAAGGAGGTAGAAGTGTCCTGTAGGCAGGAAGGGGGTAGAAGTGTCCGGTAGGCAGGAAGGGGGTAGAAGTGCCCTGTAGGCAGGAAGGGGGTAGAAGTGCCCGGTAGGCAGGAAGGGGGTAGAAGTGCCCTGTAGGCAGGAAGGGGGTAGAAGTGCCCGGTGGGCAGGAAGGGGGTAGAAGTGCCCGGTGGGCAGGAAGGGGGTAGAAGTGTCCTGTAGGCAGGAAGGAGGTAGAAGTGCCCTGTAGGCAGGAAGGGAGGTAGAAGTGTCCTGTAGGCAGGAAGGGGGTAGAAGTGTCCGGTAGGCAGGAAGGGGGTAGAAGTGCCCTGTAGGCAGGAAGGGGGTAGAAGTGCCCTGTAGGCAGGAAGGGGGTAGAAGTGCCCTGTAGGCAGGAAGGGGGTAGAAGTGTCCTGTAGGCAGGAAGGGGGTAGAAGTGCCCTGTAGGCAAGGGTTAAATAATAAAAAAAAAAGTAAATCAACGGTTTGCTCACTTTGGCTTTGCTTTGGAATTCCCGGAACGGCTCACCTCTCCTGTCAGCAGATCAATAATCAGTCTAGGGCAGTGGCCAAGGGTTGGGGTCCAGCCCACCTCCAAATCTCAATAAAAATGAGGCGCATGAGATAGGGGTGGAGCCAGCTCTGATTTTTTTTTTTTCTTGTCTTCCCACCATCAGGATATGAAATTATGAAATGAACTAGAAAAGCTACAATTTCTGGGGAAATTGTGTGAAGTGTTCTTGCCTCCACCAGTAGTCTACAACTGGAGTGGGCGAAGTAACTGGGTGGGGTGGCTTGAGTAACTGTTGTGTGGTTGGAGTGGCTGGAGTAACTGTGAAAAGGTTGGACTGGGCAGAGTAACTGTGTGGAGTGTTTGGAGTGAGTAAAGATAGTAAACATTATACTAACCAATTGATTGATCAAATTTAAAAAGTGCACATGGCAAGCTTGATAGAGTGAGAAATGCATTTCAACTTTTAATTATCTATATAGCACATTTATTTGCAATGTTGTTGCCTAAAGTGCTTCACAGTTACATTAAAACATACATTTATAAAAACATTAGCAGCATTATCACCTCAAATACGCTCTACTGTAGAAAACTTATTTCCAAACCTTTAACCAGAAGCCGGCCAAACTGTCACAAATTCAAAATTAGATTTCAAATAGGGCAGAGAAGAGCGGTTAAAAACAAACTGCTCCAACTTGCTCACTTCACTGGCGTCTTCAAATGGTCGTAGT